TACCTGAGTTAGACTTACTTGACTCTTATATAATCCTCTGAATGGAAGAACTTATGTGGAAGAGACAGGTGCAGCAGTAGGTGGCATTCATATGTGCTGTAAGAACAAGAGTGCTGATAAGGGGCATACTGACAGAAGGAGAAAACAGAGGAATTATCTCATCAACCTTCCGCTGCTCTCTGTTCAATTAGAAAAAATAACCCTTGCAGTGCGGCCACCCCTGCACTGCAAGGGTTAACTTCTAGATCTAGGAGCGTAAAAAAAACAAATCATCATGTCTAATACAGATATAAGAGTTCTTCTTTAGCTAGAGAAAGGCAGGTAACCAATTTGGCTCTGATGCCTTGGTAGCTGTGTACATCTCAGAACTGGATGAATACAAATACTATACTTTGGTAGTTAAAACAGCTCCTACATATGCTTATGTAGCTGTTTGCATTGTGTTCAGCTTTATGATTTACAGTCCCAGAATGAAGGTGAACTGCACTCAGGAAATTGTAGTTGGTGCTATTAGTAACAAGATGTGTTGATGTAGCCTCATGTAAAAATGAATCTGTTGCTTACAATGAAACATTGTTTACTTGCTACAACAAAACTTTGAGTGCTGCAAACTGTGGACAATCATGATGATAATAATAATAATAATAACAACCTCTAATCTTATTGCAGGAGTGTCTAGGCTGCAAAGCTGATGACATTTTTGGTCCCGGTAAAACCTTTGTAAGTCTCTCTCCACCTACCTATATATATATATATTTTTTTAAATATTTGATATAATGTATACAATGTTTTTCAGTTTATGAGCTGCATTCTAATATGACAAGTGGTAGACAAACACATTGACTGGGTCTGTTTCAATGAAGCAGTAAAGAAAGTTCACTTGAAGCGGTGTTCGCTATAATCATCCAATCACGCACAAAGCAAAATATTTTTGATATGCTCCTTCTCATGTTTAGTATTCAAAATGAGCATTCACTTTCATGTCACTTTCAATGATCAATGAAGATGCACAAATTGCAGTAATCAAGCAATCACATTTTACCTTTCACCGATTCACAACATTCAGTGTGATTACTTTTAAATAAACATAATGGCAACTTTTTTTTTTTTAAAGATTGGCATCACTTTTGATAAGTGACAAAGCGTTGTGGTTAGGTTATGTTATATCATGTAATGTAATGTACTGTAATTGTATATGCACCTAACATTGAAGCTAATCAGGTAATTATGCCAATATATAGAGAAAAAAAAAGGATCCAACACTTGCAACATAAATGAGCACACACACACTCACAAACACATGCACTTCTTTTAAAAATAAAAATATTTTATCTATTTTATATTTACAAAACTATCAGGGTTATTCGCAAAAGGGTGAAGGGTTTGGAGAAGGCAGGAGAAGTGAACAATCTAAGGCAACATAGATGAACCAGAAAGTGAGCTGAATTGGAGAATTTTTCCAGATCAGCTGTTAGATTGTTCACTTCTCCTGCCTTCTCCAAACTCTTCACTCTTTTTTGAATAGCCCTGTATGTTTTTTCAATTGTATGGTCATTTGTAATATGTAAAGCTACACCTATAAATAAAATATTTGACATGCACACAATCCTGTTGCATTTTGTTCATAGGAAGACATTTCCACAGAGATTGCAGAAGCTGCAAATGAAGTTACTCTAACTGTGTATAACTTTCTGGTAAGTTTGCTGTTCACCAGCTTTAGTTCTGTCTGTTAATATTAACTGGACAGAGATGCTGAGGCTAATTTACTAAAGGAGTTAAGAATGTTCACATAATGATTTGTGTCAATATTCACTTCAATTTCTGGATCCCCCTGCTCTCCAGGGCAGAGGCAGCGGGGGATACGACGAGCCAGGGTGGGGGAGGGGGCGGAGCCGTTGTGACAGAATGGACGAGCAGTGAGGGGAGAGAGAGGCGCCGGCTGTCAGATCCTGGCCGAGTGTCTCTCTCTCTCCTCACTGCTCTGCATTAGTTAGTGAAAGCGGCTCCGTCCTCCGCCCTCCCCCGCCGCCGGGTCCTTCACTTCTTCTCGGATCCCCGCTGGGGAGAGCAGCGGGGATCCAGAGAAGCAGCGGGAGGAGAGGACATGGCGATCTACCAGTGATCGCTACGCGATCGACTGGTAGATCGCGATCGACCTTGTGGGCACCCCTGGTCTATACAGTAAGAACTATTTATTCTTCAGGGTCATTTCTACAAAATAAAATGTAAGAATGGTAACATTCAGGACAATCCCCCAAAAAGTATTCCATATTTATAAATGATGTCAGCATAGCACATTTATGGGCATTTTTTAAAGTAGTAAATGTGGCATTCACCAGACCTCCAGCGGTGGTGAATAGCCTAATGCATTACTAATAGGAATATTCCTAGTAGTAAAGCATCATTAGTAGGGATGAGCTTTAAGTTGGGTCAGAACTTAACGGTCCAGACATCTACTCAGCGATATTTTATATATAATAGCGCTATCTCTAGTGCTAACAGATATGAAAGCTTCCTGCTATTAATGGCTGCTAAGCAAGCACCTGCCACATCCTTTGCAGTCACGGACGTCACCCGGCCTATTTACTTACGTGGCAGGGAATCCTGAGATAGTGGACATCTTTGGGGTTTTTATTTTTATTTTTTAATAAATAATTTGTCAAATATCTGGGTGTCTTCATTTACTGTTTTATCTTTATTTGTGAATGAGTAGGGGTTTTAAATACCCCTTACTCATTCACCAAGGGGGAGTGCCGGTATCTGGAGGTCCCTTTTATTTTTAAAGGGGGCTTCCATATTCCAATTAGCCCCCTCGTACAGACTCACCACTAGGTTAAAGTAGAAAAGGGGCTCTTCTCCTCATCGACATGGGGACAAGGTGCTTTGCTAGGGGGATACCTCCTGGCAAGGCACCCCACCCATGTTGAGGGCATGTGGATTAAGGAGAGAGAGGAGAGAGGCCATATTCTTTTTTTCACTTTTCTGCCCCGCTAAAAGGGTCTGGTAATAGATTTTGGGGCACCTCAATTATTCATGTGAGGTTCCTATTAGGTCCGGTATGGGACCCTATGTCTTTTTTTATTGGAAAGGCGGGGGTCCCCCTCATTTAGGATAAGAGTCTACTATAGATGAAAAGTATACCCAGGAACTATTTACAAACAGAAAGAAGCTGCTGGGACAATTTAATTTTTTTTCTTTGTAAATGTCAGTGTAAATTGTATAAATTGCAGAGATGCACCACTTCACAGGCAGGTTCAGGAAATCTTCTAAGACTGTAACTTAAAGGAATTGTGCATTTTTGCAGTTGACCTTAAGGCATTACATGCTTCCTGCCAGAGATGCATGGAGTATATAATCTGCTCAGAGGATAGGATCAGTGGCGTCACAAGGGGGGTGCGGCCCACACCCGGGTGTCACCATTGGAGGGGTGACACCAAAATGACAGTCATTTTGGTGTCAACCCATCTAAAAAGTCAGGCACTCGGTCATGGACCAAGAGCCCGACAAGAGAGAGGAGGGGACCCGGCGGCATACCTCATTCCGCCGGGTGAACGTCCCCTCCTCTCTTTGCCGGCGTCTATCACTAAGATGGCCGCTGGCAGGTGTCAATTAGATGGTCGCGCATGCACAATGATGTCATCGTGCATGTGCGTGGTGATGTTAGGCACATGCGCAATGACGTCATGACGGGGTGTCACCCGGTCTCCGCTCAGGGTGACACCTGGACGTGGGACGCCCCTGGGTATGATGGCTAGTGTGCTATAGTAGAAGCTATAATTTTTGTTATAGTAAAAGCTAATTGTTGATTTACTAAAGTAATAGAAACTCTTCAGTGAATATATGGAGCTGTTTTTGCTTCAACTGTCCACTCACATGCAATCAAAAATCCTTTTTTTAATTTCCCCTGCACATGATTGGTTATTGAATGTATGTAGTCTATATTCAATTAGAAAATCAAACTCCTCAGTTTGTCTTCCACTATAAAGAGAACCTGTCTCAAAACAAATAAAGGGATAAAGACTGATCATAAAGAGAGTCTTGTAGCTGACATACACTTGGAAAGAGTGACAAATGGGAGATTTGTGTATGAAGCCAATTGCAATATTATTGTCTCTAGTGGGGAATAGTTTTTGTGTTTTACTGTAATAATTTTTGTGAAAAATGTACAAATTATCTTTCTTTGGCTTTTGTTATTCTAGGTTGACACGGGACTGTATACACCGGCTGCACAGGCACTTTGTGCATTGGTAAGTTCAAAACTGTATATTGACAATTGAAGAATTTCGGTTTGTTAAATACCATAATATTTTCTAATGCAATGCTAAGTAAATTAGGCAAATGTATTATGCAATAAAACAAACAAAAAAAACACCATACGCTGTGCGCACCAAAAGGACCTTCCGACCAACAGCATGTCAGTCTATATCAGCTGTGGCTGAACGCGTTTTCGGGGGCCTCGCCCCCTTCCTTTAGAGCCAAACAGCCACTTAAAGCCGTCCAGGATAAAGGCTGCAGCATCCAATCAGCACATAGCTTCCTCTTTGCCATAGAGACTTGTAATTAGAAGAAGGAAAAATCTTTTGACCACCCACAAGCCTGAGTGTGTGTGCAGATCTATAGTCCAATTGGAAGGAGGAAAGTGATCATGTGACCCCCACACCCCATGCATGTATTCCCAATGCAGGAAAGCACTTCTACTAATAAAGACATTGCAGCCGCTAGTTTGGCCAATTGTGTACAGGGGGTGGAGCCAAAACAGCCAGCAATACTGAGACCTTTGGCAATGGTGGACCCAAATTTCTAAGTGTATTATGCAGGTAACATGAACTACTCCTTTTTATATACATTGGTGGTACATTGTATGTGTTACTATTACAAAAAAATGCATTTTACCTATGCATGCCTGTTTACTGTATTATATGAAGATTTACACCATCACATCATGTATTACTTTAATTACCCATACTTATGTACTAATCAGAAATAATATCTTTTAATAGGCAGGAGGCTTTTTGACATCAGACTGTGTGAAGAATGCCCTTGGGGTATGCATACAAAATATCATCTGTAAATGTAGAGTGGTAGAAATGCATATACTATGTCTAGTTTATTAACATAGGGATGTATGATTATGAAGGTTTGGATCTTATTAGTTGCTGTGGACCAGAATATGAACCTTTTTAATCCATTTGGATATTTGTCCAATACTAAACACAGCCTAAGAGTTATCATAGAAACTTTATAGATTTGTCACACAGCATGATTAATATTACAATGAATCTTCTTGCTATTTTAATCAAGCTGAACTCAGGGCAGATACAACAAACACTATTTAATCCAGTTATTCACTCAATAAAATTAATCAAATGGTTTTTACATCTAGCTAGTATAAATACCCAAATCTGTCCTCTGCCTCCTGCAGTACTCACCCTCGAAGAGAGGGCTGGGCACCAAGTTGAGTCAATCAGGGATCTTTTGCTTTGTCCAGTGCTGTCAATAATTTAAACAGGTTTGCAGAGAGACATGGCAGAGTGATGACAGCGGCAGATGGAGAATAGAAGGCTAGTGACCAAGCTGTATGGCTTAACTGCCCTTAATAGTGAGGTCGGATAGGGTTGCCTATATTCCAAAATTGCATGAATACCATTACAAATCCTTCAGCAGGTAATATATGTAT